AATAAAAGTTTCTTCGGCTTTTGTATTTTTGTTAAGAATAATAGCTCTTTATCTTCAAATCCACGAATTTTTGAGATGAATTTATCATGACTTTGGTCCACAAGAAACACTGTTTCCTTTTGAGAGTGTTACAGCGAATGGGTATGGATATTTGTTTTCTTGATCGCTGTGGGCGGTTTCAAAATGGAAACTGGGTTTGAACACACATTTTGTAAACAAACATGAAATTGGAAAGTGCCAAATGAGCAAACTGAAACTGGGGCAATACTGTAAATTTGTAACCTTTACGGACTTCTTATTCTATAGCGAATATTAAATCAAGATCCCATTGATCTCAGCTTACTGGTACCAGTAACAATTTCAAAGTTACAGCAATAGGTGACGATATTATAATAGTTTTGTTCGAAATTTACAACAAACAGCAATGAGAAAGCTTAAAGATCAAGCCAACTACGCAATCTACTCGAACTGGTAAGCGATATATTCTCTCGTGGATCGAATCTAATATCAAAGTGCGATCAGTGGCATCTAAGGGCCATTTGGATTCATTTAGAACGGAGATCGGACTAAAACAAAAGCTGTAAAGGCTTTTTGAAGATAATTTCAGTTACCAAGACCACCTTAAGGTAAACTGATTTCTACAGTTAGCCACTAAATTCAAATCAACTTAATATCCTTCACCTTGTACGTACCTAGGAGAAGGAATTTGAATCCTCTTCTCGGAGACAAAAGCTGCCAAGAGAAGCACAGGAAAACATCCCGCATCGCGAATCAGGCTGAAGATTAGAGGATCTGCTTTGTTCTCTTTAGCAAATTTGGAAACGATAACTCCATAAGCTCCAAATCCCAGTTGCACGACAACAAGAGCCAACCACACCATCCAAACACTCGCCATGTTGAATTGAGTAATCCTCTTCCGTCACGCACTCCTTTGAGTCATAGTACGCATGCGTCAAAGGAAGGGAAGTATGACAGTCACACAACCTTCGCAAGTCAGTAAATTAGCACTGACGAATGACGGCTACGATTGTTTGTTTTGTTCCTTTGGGTATCTCTTTGCTTCTTTTGACTGTTGAATTTAGCAGATATCAGCCGTGAAAATAAAAAAAATAAAACACCACTAGAGCATTATTTTCCAATAAAGTTCATGACGCTTTATTTCAAAATAGCACATTTGTATTCACGACTGCTATATCTAAACCTTCTAAAATATTTACCGTCACAATATATTAACTATAAATGAGGTGAGAAATTCATAACTTTGTACTTCTTTTTAAGAATTCTATAGAAAAGTTTGTCAGATGACCGGCGTCCCCTCAAACAAAACTACTCTTTTCTCTGTGTAAAAATACTTACTTGTCTAATTTGACTTCGATATCTACATGAGGATGAAGAAAGCTGTAATCGTGGCAGGCTTAAAATTCAAAGAGTGACGAGGCCGTTTTGAAACGGTACTTTATATATTCTGAACCATTTGACTACAGAAACTACTTTTAAAAGCTATGAACACATTGCTTTCAAAATGGTATTTATTTCTAAAAGAAAATATACACACTAACAGATGTAATGGACTCCTGACTCTAGACACTGACTTACAAGATTCAGTGAGAGATTTAATCGCAAAAGCCAGAGGAAAAGTTAACGGTTACTTCGCATTTATAAAAAGCTCCAAAATATTGGCCTATCTTTCCAAAGAAGAACGTTTTTTTTTTTAAGTTTTGCCAGCTAGGGTTTATTTGAAATTTTAAGCTTTTTATTTTTGTAATTAGAAAATTTTCATCCCAAAATGTAATTCATCGATTGCCAAATATGCTTTTTTTCCCAATATAGAAATAATTTCTGTCATTTATCCACTCAGCAAGTTTAACTATTTTAGAAAATTAAAGTCGGTCTTTCAGACTACGAATGCTTAGAGAAAAAGTTCGAGGCCGCTGCCGACTGCGTTCACTTTGGGGTAAGGAGTTTCCTGAGGTCAGCGGCTTCTTTTTCCAGAGCTTTTTGCTGTTTCCACAGCACACACTGAATGATCTTTAACCTCTCCACAGCCGGTGTGAAGCCTGGTTCGAGCTGTAAGGCGAGCAGATAGTGCTGAATAGCCTCAGGTATTTCACTCTGAGGTGGAAAAGAAAGAGAGTAAAGTTGACTTAAAGCACGAAGAGATAGATACACGGTATAATTCTCCAGCACAATGATCCTAGAGAATAAAATAACTAATTCTGCCAGGCTAAACTAATACAGGGTATTGGTAAGGAAACCGGCTCCCGCTGGTTGGGCTACTAGTGCTTGGTTCGATAACACTCGCATTAACTTAGAAATGAAGATCAGAGGAATTTCTCCACTTGTTATTGACATATAGGATATAGTCTAAACCTTAAAAAGGTCTCGAACCTTTTTCAACATTAAACGAACCCTTTCTCGGATGAAGATTTGCTCAGAGACTGAAAAACCAAACAGTAAATGCTTCCCATCCTAATTTGCATTTAGGCTAAATTCTAATTTTTTTTCCATTAATAAAATGCACTAAAGAACATACAGATAACGCATTAAATACCTGAGCACCGAAGACGTTTCCAAGAATAAAGTGTCCAAGAGCAAGACTGGGAGAAATCTAAAAAACCGGAAACAATATGAAACTGAAGCTTCTTTTACTTAAAACATTACTCTCTTTCTACTTTACAGTAAAACTTTAAAAAAACAAACAACAAAACAAAAACAACAAAGGTGAACCCTATCAATTGATTTTGACAGGTCAATTTTAAACTAACCGATCACAGTGAAGTTCAGCACACGCAAGAAAAGTTTAAAGCCATAAACTTATGACAATTGCTGTTTGCTTCGTTTTTTGAGCTTAGCGACCGGTTATTATTAGCCGCCTGAGGGTGGGGGGGG